GCCGTGTGCGCTGCGCAACCCGCCGCACCTTGCAGGTGCATACCCCGACCTCGCCCTCCGCCTCCGCATCGGGCGGTCGCTCCTGCCACCTAACCTCAGCCTGTCGCGCCCCACACTCCCCTGGTCAAACATCAAAACGCCGCAGGGCGACGCCGCTGACATCACTCTGATGTGCCTGTCCACGGCGGCGCTGGTGGCGCTGTCCATGCAGATGTACCGCGCCTACCTGCTCGCTACCATGTACGCCGCCGAGAGGTTCTGAATGGCAAGTTTTCGCCGCCCACCCGCCGCCTGTCCATCCTCCGGGGACCCCCACCCTCCTCTGCCTCCGAGGGGCGTGCCGGGCGCCCCAGCCGCTGCCGAGCCCAGTCCAGACCCCTCGAAAAGTCGGCGCCTGAAGCTGAGGAGCTCGCCGTGTACCACAACCTTGACGTGATTCCCGGGCATCCTCGAAGCCTGGCGCGCAATCGTGGCGCGCCGTCCCTCATTGTTTGCAGTTTTTCCATGCGCTTGCTGTTGACGCGTGCAGTCGCCCCGCCGGAGTAATCAGCCGCCGGCGCCCTACCCGCACCCTGAGCTGCGGGCCGGCGCCCTGGGCTGCGGGCCGGCGCTGGGTAATGAAGGGATCCGCGGGCGATTTTCCCCGCTGCCGAGCGGGGAGCCTGTCGCTGTGCCGCGCAGCTCGCCACACCTTGCATGCTGCTGCCCTTGCGGTGTTGCCCATTTCTGCATACGCTTTGCGTGTCATCCGTACCATTCAACAACGTGGCACCTTCACCCGCCGAGTGCACGCGCGACCAGTAACAACGTGCGCTGCCTAGTTTGGCCCTGCTGCAATGGGAGGGCTCCGGGTGATTCAGGGCCACTTCACAGCATCGTGAGCCATTGCACACGGTGTTGTGATACTGGGATGAACCCATGTTGGTGGAAGAGGCTTTGTCACCGCAAAGCGCACGAAGAGGCACCGGGTGTGACATCAGCAAGGCGGCGCCATCCTGGTGGGCGAGTCGAGAGCGACCAGGTCAGACCGCTTCAAATAATTGAACGCATACATTGTAGATATGATAGCCGTTTGACCTGGCAAAGCGTGCCCCAATCACCCAAGCGGTGCTGCATAGAGGCATTGTTCTGGATCTTGATCTTAAACCAAATCGGCAATGCAGACTCGCATTATATCAACATATCGGTGTGGAGCCGTGTGGGGCCCGCATGCGTCCAGTCCCATGCACAGTGCTGTCCTCAGCCCGCACAGAGCGTCCTGCTGCTGCTGTGAGGCCAGAAAAAACTCGGGAAGGCTTGCTAATTGCAGCAGTAATGCTGCTTTGGCCGGCGATGCAGCTTTCGGTCGGGCGGCTGCAGCTTGCACCGACGCACTCGCTGCTGCCAGGCGGGACTCGACACTGGCATGCGCCCTTCGGCATGTGGCCTCTGCGGCTCCTATGTCGGGACAGCAGCGGCACCAACGTTTAGGGAGTGATAGCATTAGCGGCAGCGGTGGTGATGACGGGCAGCAGCTGGACAGAGTAGTGGACACGGCCCAGCAGCGGCAGCAGCGGCGGCGACGAGTGCGGCCTGCGCCACCTGAGGGGCTGCGGCTGGACCAACTGCCGAAGCATGTCGCGGTGAGCGGATGCCATCAGAGCTTCAAAAAGTTTTGAGCAGGCGATTATCAGCCTGGCAACAGCATGCCTCAATATATACCTTGAGCAGCTGCGCAGCGGCCATCGTTGACCCCTCCCGATCCACCATGCATGGCCCGCCCCTCTGCTGTCGCCTTCACCGCTCTGCTGGCAAATGCGCAATCGCACCCTGCTCAAAGGTCGTCATGGATGGAAACTCACGCTATGCAGCTGCCCACGGCTGGCTGCCCAGCGCCGGCCACGAAGCCGGCGTCGCCGCCCTCCGCCGCACGGTCGCCGCCTGCGCGCGCTTCGGCGTGCGCGCGCTGACCGTGTACGCGTTTTCGGAGGAGAACTGGCGGCGCGACGGCGCCGAGGTGGCGTTTCTGATGGCGCTGTTTGAGAGGGCGCTCGGGGACGAGCTGCCCGAGCTGCATTCCAGCGACGTGCGGCTGCGCTTCATCGGCGGCCTCGAGCGGCTGCCAGAGGGGCTGCGGCGGGGCATCGCCAGGTGATGGCGCTGCGATGGCGCGTAGAAGCGCGTGGGGGGGAGGGATGTGACGCAGTGCGGGGCTGGGCATGCGCATCGGGTGCATCATGACCGCGTCTTTTGATCTCACGGCCATTTCTCGCGTATTGACATTCAACCTTTCGCCTTGGCGCTCGCCGTCTGCTTCGCCCTTGTCAGGGCTGAAGCGCTCACCGCCGCAAACCAGGGGCTGCTGCTGACGGTGGCGGTCTCATACTCGGCACAGGCGGACATCGCCGCGGCCGCGCGGCGCCTCGCGCAGGCGGCCGCTGACGGGCGCATCCGACCGGATGACGTCACGCCTGACCTGCTGGCCCGCGAGCTCAGTACGGCGCCGACAACGCTTGAGGTTGGGCCGGTCGACCTGCTCATACGCACCAGCGACACGCAGCGGCTGTCAAACTTCCTGCTCTGGGAGCTGGCTTATGCGGAGCTGTACTTTGAGCCCGCGCTGTGGCCGGCGTTTGGGGAGGAGCAGCTTGTGCGCGCGCTCAGGCAGTATGCGGGTCGCGAGCGGCGGTTTGGCGGCCGGCATTGACGAGTGTGATTCAAGTCCGCCCGCGTGCCGTGTAATTAGAAAAGTGTGGTGCGCAGGGGCTTGAGGTGGCGCAGTGGTGTCGCTGCTTACTGCACATGGGCGGGGGCCAGCGGCGTCGGCTTGCTGCTGAGCAATGAGGGTGGGCCAGTCCAGGCGTGACCATTCACCCCTCACGGAGACATGGCCAAGCCTGCCCCAGTCAGGAGCTGCTCTGAGGTCAAGGATTGATATGAATACCTCGACGAGGAAGTTGTGCGGTTCGTCGGTCAAGTTTTTCGCGCCTTTGGCCTCTGGCATTCCTGCGGCTCCCATCTTGCCTCGGACTTGACCGTTGTTGTCTAGCGCATACTACACAATCGTAGAGAAAAGCTAGGGCGAGCTGCCTCCTCGTCGCACGCGCGAAGCTGTCCGTGCAGCAGGCCGTGGAGCGCGAGCCTAGCCCCCAAGTCTTGGAGGGCCACTAGGCAGCTGTAAGGCGCCTTAAAGGCACTGCGGGAGCATACGAGGGCGGTGCGCCAGATCAGCGGGTCCGTCCTTGTCGAGGGCCATGGCAGGTAGGCAAGGCTCTGCCACCGAGGGACTACAGTGAGGATATCTGATGGATACCATAGCGTGCCAGCCCGGTGTTTGTGCTTCTCATGAGCGTGCCGCCCCCAAGCTGCACGCACACCGCGCCCCTCGCAGACGAGGAGACGCTTGAGCAGCACCTGCTTGGCGGCCATGATCAGCTGCATGAAGGCGACGAGCTAATGAACGACCAGGAGCAGGACGCCGCTGACGACAGGTGTGGTGGTGCTGCTGGCGCGCGCGTGCCGCGGCAGCTGCAGCTGGCGCTCGCGGCGGCCGCCGCCACACGGGCGGCGGCCGCGGCGTGCCGCTTTGGCACTGCAGCTGGTTTTGGCAGTGCGTGCGCATGTGCCATGGGCGGCGCCGGCTGCTGGCCGGCGCCTGGCTGATCGTGCTAGCGTATTCGGCGAAAGAGCAGGGTATTGCGGGCGAGCGTCTCGTCAGCGGCAGCATGCCCTCCTGCAGCTGCGGTCCCCATCTCGAGTGCCCTAATAATGTCAGCCTAATGAGCTGCAGCTTTCGCCTCGCAGCTGCATGCAGGGCAGCAATGCGCAGCTACAGGGCCCGTCTCGCAGCACGCATGGAATCCACAGAGGGGCTGGGTTCAGCATCCGCTGCGGGACGCGGGCCGTGGGTGACTCTGGAGGGTAGGAAGGGGTGCCGTGGGCCGAACGACAGCTGTGGCAGGCGTTATATCTGCCGTGTACACCAGGACAGCCGGCGGCGATTGGCGGCGGTGTATGACAGGGGGCTGCTGGCGGTACAGAGCGTGGAGCTGCAGACGTGGCAAAGCACGCGCAGAGGCGGCAGCGGCCAGCGGGGTGCCACAGGCTTCGGGCGAACCCCCTGCGGGGTACCGGCAGCACTTAGGCCTGTGCGGCAGCAGGACATGGGGGAGCAAGGCAGTCCAACGCAGCAGCGAAACGGCGGCGGGTGTGGATGCGAACTTTGTGGCAGGCACGCGGCATGCATGGCACTACTTCACCACCGCTTCGCGCCGCCTGTGCGGCAGGCACCCGACGAGCGCACGCAGCCATGCGCAAAATCAGCCAGCAGCAGGCGCAGGGCCAGCGCCCAGTGCGCGACATAACAGCTATCCAGCTCGTTTAAAGGACGTTTGTCTCCTCCGCAGCCCCTGTCCAACAGCTGCTGCCTGGTGCACCTCTGTACCCCCGCCGCTCGATTAGCCTCCATCATCGCGCGCCAGCATGGCTGCGAGGGCGCCCTTGCGGGGCGTGCGCACAGCATGCGGCCGTCAGCGTTGTGGCGGTCTGTGCGGGCCCAGCGGCTCCTCACCCCGCCTGTCCCCCCGGCGCGACGGGCGCCCACCCCGGCAAACCCTCCTGCAGCGCTCTCAATGGCAATGGCGGCGGCGGCGACGGCGACGACGGCGAGGTTGCAAGGAAGGAGGCGGGTGGAGGACGCCACGACGAAAGGTGGGCCCAAAAAGGGGCAAGGCTCGCGGCGTTGGCGCACTGTCTCACGCCAGCGTGGCGCATTGCCTTTGTGCCTCTGTGCATGATGGCCTCTTGAGGTGACCTGCGCGCAACCTGCGCTGGCCCCGCACAGGCGGCAAGGACGTGGCCGGCGCAGGCAGCACAAGTACAGCAGCGACGAAGACTCATCGGACTACAGCAGCAGCAGCAGCGATGACGACGGCGGCGGCGCGCGCTCGCGCTCCCGCAGCAGCAGCAGCAGCCCCGGGCGGGGCAAGGACGATAAGGAGGGGAGTCGCGGCCGCAGCCGCAGCCGCAGCGGCGAGCGCCGCAAGCGGAGGACGTCCTCCACCCCGCGCCGCAAGCGCAGCGACCGCGCCCGCAGCGCGGAGCGCGCGCGCAAGCGGCTGCAGCGCGTGCGCCAGAAGGCCAAGCGCGCCGGCCTGCCCATCCCGCCAGAGGCTTTGCCGCGCGGCGACGGCGGCCGCGAGGGCGGGCGCCGCGGCGCGGACGCGCCCGGCGGGGCGCCGCCGCTGGCGCGCGGCGACCGCAGCCCGGGCCGCAGGGGGTTGAGCGGGCCGGCGCTGCGGGGCCCGCCCTCGCCGCGGCGTGGCGGG